TCAACGCTACCACCAAAGACAAGAGCTTAATATTCACTGCTATTCATTTCACTAGCTACTTTTCATTTTTCTGTGACCAAATACCTGGCAAGAAGGAACAGGGAGGACAGGCTTATTTGGGTCATGGTTTGAGAGGTGACAGCTCATCCCGATGGAGGTCACGGTAGCAGGCGTGGGTGGAAGAGACGCCTCATCTGTCCAGGGACCAGGAAGCGGGGCAAATAGGAGGCTGGGCAAACAAACCAAACCGTGAAACCCGAAGAAACAAACAAGAAAGATAACACCTTGCCTGTTATGTCCGGGGCTTAAAATAACTTGCCGAGTTTATCAAAATGAGCTTTATCTTGAATCAAATGTGGGAATTCCACTCCCTTTCTGGTCATTATACAAATTTGGGAGTGGCTGGAACAGCAGGTTGTTTGTGTGGATGAGGGACAGGGGAGACTTCGGGGCATTTGAGTTGGAGAATTTGGGGCCCCACAGGGTCCCTGCTTTTCTGAGCATCAACCACAGACCAGAGATAATTAAATAGTTTTGAAAAAAGTTCACAGACTTTTGAAAAGTCAAATAAAATTAGAAGTCATTAGAACGAGCACTAAAAAGCTGAGGTTGAAACCCATTAAAGCCACAGACTTCCAACACTAACCACAAAGCCCAGTGCCATACAAGAACCCAGAACAGAAGACGATGAGGAATTAAAGAGATCAAATCTTCACATGAAAGAATAATCTTAAAATTGATTTTAAAACAATTTTTAGATACTAGGAAGCAATCTTCTAGCACCAAGGGTGGTTTTTTTAAAGAATGAAAAAAAAAGTGCTTTTTCACTTATAGAACATAGCTTTATAGTATTCAGTTTGCATAAAGACGTGGGAAAACACAATACTAAATTGGGTAAAGTAAATTGGCATATTTTTTAATAGGCCAGAAAGTATTTTGGAATGCCAAGAAAATAAAAGTAAAATTTAACTAACTCCACGAGACCTAAGTTTGGCTTTGAGCTCTCTGACAACCAAAGCCAAAAGAGAACACAGGGGTCACCTCCCTGCTTTACAGTATGCATTCGTAACAAGGAAGTACCACACTTGACGGGGTGAAAATTGATTCCTGGGGAAGAGAAAAGTCTTATATAATATAAAATATAGCTACTCGAAGTATATACACAGTGTGTGTAGTGTTCAATACGGAATGTCACCTTATCAGAATCTAGAATCACCTAGGAGGCAATCCCCTGGGCCTATCTGTAAGGGAGTTCCTAGATTGGATTAACTGAGGAGGGAAGACCCAGCGTAAATGTGGGCCACCCTACCCCGTGGGCTAGAGTCCTGGACTGAGTGAAAACGAGAAAGCAAGTTGAGCACCAGCGTTCACCTCTCTGCGTCCTGACTGTGGACGCGATGTGACCTGCAGCCTCAGACTCCCACCATGGTGGACTGACCCTTCAAACTGTGAGCCAGAGCAAACACCTCCTTCTTAAGCGGCTTCCTGTCAGGTGCTTTGTAACAGTGATGAGAACAGTGAGTGGTACAGCATATTTACAGGAAGCCTGACCCTGGGAAATGGTTACGGAACAGAGGCATTAAAAGGCTCTTTGAAAGGTGATCTTGATGAAGAGGCTGCACAGCCCTGTTCTGGATAAAGAACACATCACTGGTCTAGAGGCAAACCTTCCAGGAACCTCGTTCCGGAAGGCAGGGAGTCAGGAGGCCACCAGGTTCTCCTTGACTTGCGATGTGACTAGGGCTCCTTGACTAGGGCTTTGGTCTGCAAGGTAAGTGGGTGGTTTGAGTTTGGAATGTTCCAAAAATGCCCATGTGTTAAAGCCTTGCTTGGTCCCCAGTCCTCAGCATTGTGGGGATAACAAAACTTTGAGTTGGGGCCAGTGGCAGATACTCCAATCACTGGGGGAGCGTTTTCAAAGGAGGGAGTGGACTCAGGGCCCTGTCCTTCCTCTTCTACAACAAGCCAGGAGGTGAACAGGCCTCTCTCTACCACCTCACGGCCTGCCAGAATGCCTAATGCAACAAAGCTCACTGACTTGGGGCTGAAGCTTATCAGCCAGAATGCTGCAGGAACTTCTGATCGTCAAGAGACCAGCAGGCAAGGGAAGTGAAGGGGAGGGAGTTTATCCATGTTGGCGGGCTAACACCTAGACCGCTCCGTAGTGGTGCCAGACCCGAGCTCAAGTTCGTAGGAAAACGTATAGTCAGCTCATATGAGGACGTCAAGCAGGCAGAAGCTTCAGAAGCGCACACACGGAAGTTAAGCAAGTGGTCACACATAAGCATGTGGTTACAAAAGATCATGAGAATGCGGCAGTTTGGTGAACGAAGATTTCAATGGGTACAACATGGGAGTTAAGCCTGAAACGAGCCACGGGGGGGCGGGGGGAGCGCAGAGTCCTATTCACTTTCCTCATACTCTTCTTATCTCATCTCGGGGGCTCCTCGTCTGAAGTTCTTAGCAACCATGTCATTGTCAGTAAGCGCTTTATCGCCGTCACAAGAACAGACCTGTCCTATGTTTAGGTCCATTTGCCACAGGCATATCTACACTGACAGAAAACTGAGAAGCACGCGGAGGAAAAGGCTTGTCTACACATTGGAAACCTTCCCTCATTTGTGAGTACACCAGCATATTTGTATTAAGAAATGTCTCACCCACTGAAGGGTACCCCAGTCCCTGTTCAGCATGGAAGAAGCCAGAGCGGTCCGCGTCCCGACTCCCTGTTGGCAATGTGGGTAACCTCCTCAGACGATGGCCTGATAAGAATAGGAGGTAGGAACTGGCTAGGCAGTTCGGGTAAAAAGACCCCAAAGAAAAGTAGCCAGTTTCTTGGCTAAAACTCACAATGTCCTTGGGACTGTTAGCAACATATTCTGTTCCAAAGGCCAAAAATGTCCAAAGGATTTGGGAGCTTGGATCTAATCCTTAAAAGGTTTTAGGGTTACTCTTCAGAGGAGGGAATGTTAGAGTAGCCAAAAGTCCCATAAAAATAAATAAATCAAAAAAGAAGAAAGAGCACATGAGATATGGGAGGTGTTGGAAGTGAGGGAATGGGCATGGATTTGATCAAAATGCCCATTATATGCATGTATGAAATTTTCAATAAAGTTTTTGTAAAAGTTAAAAAAAAAATGTCTGTAACATGCCATCTGTCTTCCTTTCTCCTTCCTTAACTGTACTGTGTTTTCCACATACTTCCCTGTGTGTGTGTGGTGTATGTGCATCTGTGCGTGTGTGTGTGTGTGTGTGTGTGTGTGTGTGTGTGTGTGTAACTCCAGCTGGGGTTGTGTCCCATGACAGTGGTCCTGGAAAATCAGGAAGAGTCATGCCAGATACCACTCCACTATAGTAAAATGCCATTCCCACAGGTCCAGGAATGAGTCTCAGTTTGGGGTGTCTGCCTGTGTGAGGTAACTTAAGAATGACCCTCTCCAGTGACCCATGGCCAGTGGCTAGACTGTTGCCCTCTCCTGGACTGCTGTACCAAAGCCAATATTTCAAGGATTACAGGTAATGTCCTGTGTCTAACACATTGGCTGGAGGATGAACATTTATCTTGGTGAAAAAGCAGGTTCACAAAGAACAAGAAAATCCCATTTTGACAGGCATCTGCAGTGTTCTGGATATTCCTAAGTAGGGAAGGGCAGTTGTACCTTATTTTGTGTGTCAGGGGATACATGCCTGTGTAGATGTGGGGAGGCCAGAGGAGGACATGGGGTGTCTTCCTTTATTTGCTTGAGTCGTGGTCTCTCACAGAACCTGGAGCTTGGCTGGTGTCCAGCAAGCCCTAGCATTTCTTTTTACTGCCCTGCCCCACAGTGCTGGGGTTCTAGGCATGCACAGCCATGCCTGGGCTTTCATATGGGTGCTGGAGATTCAAATTCAGGTCTTCATGTCTACTCAGCAAGTGATCTTCCCCACTGAGCCATCTCCCCATTCCCTCAACTGCTATGTTTAGTTTGAAGTCGGAGTAAGCTCTAACAGGACAACGGGTGCCTGGGCCTCTTGGCTTCTTCAGAGACTTCTTCCAGCCTGCTGAGGGCATACACAAGGCATTCTTACCGACTGAGCACGTTTGCAAGGAGGGAGATGAGAGCCTTCACGCTGTGCAGAAGACCCACTGTCATCTAACATCCAGTGTGGCAGGTCCCGGAGAAAGCTCTCAAGCATCCAGGCCTCTCAAGCCAAATCACATACCCCATGACAGAAAGGCCTCTCTCAAATTAGCAGCAACAGAGGCAGGAGAGAAGGCATCAGCAATACCCATCCAGAGAGCAGGGAAAGGAAGTGTCAGGAGAGCACAGCTCTGCTCTAGGCTGTGAGGTCATGCACGCGCTCATGGGGATGTGTGCACACACTCAGGGGGATGTGTGCACACACTCATGGGGATGTGGACACTTTCTACCTGAGCTCCAAACAAAACAAAACATGAGGAGAGTGGCAGGAATGACACACAAAGTTTATTTCTGGCCTCCACATACACACACACACATGTGTGCCACACACACATGTGCATCCATGCACATATATACACAAGAATGTACACACAAATTATGTTTGAACAAGATGGGTAAGTGCATATGTAAGTGGTTTTTCTTTAATAAAGTAGCATATATAATACATATACATAGATGACTATATATATATATATATATATATATATATATATATATGTACATATGTCTTTTTGAGACAGTGTCTCTCTGTACCCCCGAGTGCTGGGATTAAAGGTGTGTGCCACCACGCCCAGCTAAGAAAGTAACATTTTAGATTTTATGTTAAATGCTTTTTTTAAAAAAAAGAAGTCAACTCTCCAGCACCCACATGGCAGCTAACAACTGTCCGTAACTCCAGTCCCAGGAGATCTGACAGCCTCTTCTGTTCTCCACGGCATTGCACGACACAGGTGCACTTACCTACATGCAGGCAATACATGCATACACATAAAATAAAAATAATAAATAAAATTTAAAGAAAGAAGTCAAACACTAGAAGCCGTTTAAATGACATTTATTTTTCATTGTCAGTGATTAACTTTGAAGCCTCTTAGGGCAGAATCATGATCACAGTAAATAAAAAAATATAGATGATAGAATAAAATATTAGGTTATACAAAGTTAGTTTAAAAAAAAAATCACTGTCCATCAACATTGTCAAGACCTGGGAAAACAAATTTAATTTGTGGGATTTTTTTTCTTTTTTTTTTTTGATGCGGGGTCTCCCTGTAGTTCCAGCTGGCCTGAACTCATAATGTAGACCAGGCTGGCCTCGAACTCACAGAGATCCACCTGCCTCTGCCTCCCGAGTGCTGGGACTAACGGCGAGTGGCACCACGCCCGGATGTTTTATTTTTTTAAACACATTTCCAGCAGTTAAAAATTAAGAACACATATTGAAGATCATTTTCAGAGGGCCACTATAATAAACATCAGGGCCACAAACACTAAGGTGAGTTCTGAGAAACGTCATATATACAAACTTCTGTACAGACTGAGAACAGAGCAATCACCCGATTAAACCACCCCTTGTGGACTATGTAGTCATTAAAGAAAACAGAATGAAAATACATCTTCCTGTGCTTGTCTCTATTTTCCATTTGATCCAGGATTCTTAATGATGTTTCTATTCCATAAATTAGTAGCTGTTCAGTAGCTAAGAAATATCCTATTTTAAATTATGCCAAGGAAAACTAGGAACTTTTCTGAAGTGCTGAACTTGGGTCCTATTGTCAGTTGAGGTTATACTGAACCCATACAAAGTCACACAGCAGATTCAGCAAGGATGGAGTTGAGCAGTCAGCCCTGGAGGGGACTAGAGTCTGGTCTGGGGAGAGAAGGTGAGGATCCTTACACAGTTACTGCACAGCTTCTTTGGGGGAAGGGGTTGGCCTCATCCCTCTCTGACTGACATGTTGGGGCCCCAGTAAAAAAAAATACAGAGCACGCACTTCCTATATTCCCACTGGTGTCCGTGAATTCTTGCTCCGTGGCTACACAGGACTCCTCAGGAAAGGCCATTGCACTAAGGTGAGACGTCCCAGGCCCACGGAGGTAATCTGCAGGCACAGAAGATGCACAGGGAGGAAGGACAGTGTATTCCTCCGAGCATGCTCACTGCACAATCCCGGAGTCCACTGAGGTCTGCTTGCGGGTTGTCTTCGGAGGGGGAGGAGGTGGTGTTTTGCTGGGCAGTGGAGGCGGCAGATGCTAGGAAACATAAATAGGAGGCAGAAGTCACGGTGCTGATGTTTTCACAGAGAAGCACTGTTGCCCTGGTGGGGTCTCACCTGCCCCAGCAGCCTCAGTGGGAAGTTAATCTGAACACTTGGACAGTTACTGGCTCCTCCTGATAACTTGGCTCCATCCTGTCTAGCTTAGAGCTAGCTGCAGCCACAGAATTTTCTGACAGTTGAGTTCCTTCAGTCAACATTCTTTGTCATTTTAGATCTAATGCCACTGATCTACGATGGATCTGCTGTCTAGGGATCAGGCGTGTCCTCGGACAGGCACTCCAGAGTGTGATGAGAGACCCTCACTTGCTTTCTGAATTGACAGCTTAGGCCAGTCCGTAACATTCTCCATTTTGTGGGCCCCAGCTCTCTTTGAGGCTGGGAAGTGGCCAAAGATGACCAGCCGAAGCTGCAGTCACAGCTGTGTGTCAAGGGAACAAGGTACCAGCTGGATTGGCCCGTCTGCCGCAGAGGACTTTAAGTTCCTGCTACAGTTTCAATGTACACGGCCCTCCCATGCCCCACAGGCTCATGTGTTGCTAGTGGCACTGTTTTGGGAAGATGGTAGGGCCCTTGAGAGGCCTTGTTTGAGGAAGTGGGTTTCTAGGGGTGGAGAGGCCTCAGAGTTTATTGCTGGTTCTGTTTCCTGGCCTTTTGCTGCTTCCTGTTTAGCTAAGATGTGAGCCAGCAGCTTCTACAAGCTCTTGCCGCTTCATGGCTGCCTGCCCTAGCCAGGCCTTCCCTTGGGTGATCAACTGAAACCCCTCAAATAATGAGCCCCAACAACCCTCTCCACTCTCAAAGTGCCACTTAGGAGGCACTGTGGAGGTGAGCAAAGTGACCAATTCAGTCTCCAAGAAAGAAAACGAATGTACAACCGCACAGCTGATAGAAAACCCCAACTCACAGGCCTGTCAGGACCAAATGACACAGAAGAGCTGCCCATTGCTCTTAGGACAGACAGGAGGTACCCTGGAGATGTGGCTCCGTCACCAAGGGCACAGCGAGTGGGCAAGTGAGGAAGGTGGCAGGCTGGCAGGGGTGGAAGCCCACGGCCGGCAGAGCAGCCTCAGGAAACCTCAGCACCACCATGTAACTTATGGGCAAGCGTGGACATTAGACTTCCTACAGCCTCTTAGCAGAGGCTGGAGCGGGACTCAATGGGAGAAAAGAGCCTCGAAAGGCAGAATAGTGACACGCCCCTCACTCCTGTTTCCTCCTGATCCAGACAAGCAAATACAGAATCATCCCAGTGTTGAACATATGGAGGAAAAGGGACTTCCGTGGTGATGGCCATTATGAAGTGGAAAGTGACGGGCTCAGAGATGGCTCAGGCGGTAAAGCTCTTGCCATGCAAGTCTGAGGCCCTGAGTTTGGATCCATGTAAAAAGCTAGGTGCAGTGGTGCAAACCTCTAATCCCAGGGCTGGGGAGACAGAGACAGGACGATCCCTGGGGCTTTCTGGACAGCCAGTCTAGCTGAGTCAGTGTCTAGGTTCAGTGAGAGACCCCAATTCAAAAAATAAGGCAGAGAGTGGCTGAGGAAGATACCCAGTGTCAACGTCTGGCTCCCCCCACACACACATGCACCTACACATAGCACACACGCAAACACACATACACCTGAAAGGAATATGAAACAGTATTCTTGTCTTTTTAAAGCTGGCAGGACTTGTGGAAAGAAATGCTGATTTGGGGGCTGGAGAGATGGCTCACTGGTTAAGAACACTAACTGTTCTTGCAGAAGACCCGGGTTCGAATTCCAGCACCCACATGGCAGCTAACAACTACCCATAACTCCAGTTCCAGGGGATCTGACACTGTCTTCTGTCCTCCAAGGGCACTGCACAACACGGGTGCACTTACCTACATGCAGGTATAACACTCATACACATAAAATAAAAATAATAAAATATTTTTTTAAAAAGAGAAATGCTGATTTGATGGTCTAAGCACATCCACTATGTGTGTGTATGTTTATATGGAAAGCTATCCTGATACCCCACAAAGCAATTTCAGGCTGGACCAACACAGCTTGAGGCAAGCACAGCACTAGATGCCAGTTTCCCTTTGTGCCACATAGGAGAATATAGGTTTTATCACCATTAAACAAAATGAAGGCTCACAGGGCTAGTCATACTACAAACCCCTCTGAAATAAATGGCCGCTTAAAATGGCACCAACTAGAGAGAGAGTCGCCGACAAGCCTGAGGCCAATCAATGAGAGTGACAGGAGACTATTGATCACCTCCCACAGTAGATGAACAATCATTATCCAAAAATGGCTCTCAGGGCCCGTGCAGAGGGAGCCACCTGGGGAGATGCACTAATTATGACACACTAACCGCCAGCCTGTCACCTAACTTAAGCTCAGGCTGCAAGTAAATTAGACTGGAAACAAACAGCAAAAGCGATCTGGGTAATTGATTGAATTCGCATACCCTTCATAAGTTGAGCCACAGCCACGGCATAGCAGTCCTTTACTTAATCACTACCAGTGGTGTTCGCAGCTTAGGATGGATCCAGGATTGGAGCGATAAAGTCTTACCCGTGTGGATGTGTGACAGAAATGAACTTGCAATTCCAGGTTCAGAATTCTCAGGTTGTTAGGGAGACCTGGGGGTATCTTTGCTTTTCTAATAAAATAAGGATATAATCCATTAAGCCATTAGGCTACAACACCCTGAGGAAGTCAAGGTTTCTCTGGACTCTCCAAGCATCCTTTTGTGCTAGCATGTAGTTACGAGTGCTTAGAAAGGTCAAGTTTATATTTCATGGGTTGTAATGAGCCCTCTGGATCCTAGAAAATCCCCCTGGTAGGTAACCTGGCTCCTTCTCCAGGGCCAGCTCATCATGGTGATGTCTCTAGGGAGATGTTTTCCTATTTAAATGACACTTTTGGCTTCCAAGTTGGAGAGTAAGCCCCATGTGTGGTTAGTATCCTTAACAAAAGGAATAATCAAATACACAGTTAATAAGCACCCTCTCTCCATCCGTGACTGAATGTGTGTACGTTTGTATGTGTGTAAATGTATGTGACTGTGTGCTGGTTCATGCACACGTGTGAATGCACACATGGAGTTCAGAGTTTGGCATCAGGCAACTTCTGCAGCTGTTCTCTGCCTTATTTTTTGAGATACGGTCTTTCACTGAATCTGGAGCTCACAATGTGACTAGACTGGCTGCCACGGAGTCCTGGGACTCTGTCTCCACTTTCCTAGTGCTGGGCTTACTCGTGCCTGCCAACATGCCCAGCTTTTTCTAAGGGGCTCAAACTGTTTGCATAGCATGCACTTTATTGACTGAACTGCCTCCCTGGTCCTTCTTTCACAAGAAGAAAGTAGAAACTTCACAAGAGCACTCAGTGAGAAAGCCTCACTAAGGAAGGGAAAAAAAGAGGGGGCGAAGAATTTCTACTGTGGATAAAGAATAAACTCCCTGCCTTTTGCAGTAGCTACTACCAACCAGCCCCACATCCTCAGTGCTCTGTGTGGGCTCCATGGCTACATCATTACTTTATGGAGGCTGAATAGCAAAAAATAGGACACACTGTACAAATGTGAACTGGGCTGTTCACTTTTCAGACTGAGCTGATGTAACTTTATAAGGCTGTGAATGATGGAGCCTGGGAGTTGGGACCCGGAAGTGGACATTCCTGTGGCTACTGCACAAATCCTCCCGGAGCTTGCCTCCACACACGCTGAACCCTCAACAACACTGGACAGGCCAGGGCTACAGCAATCCCTGACGGCAGCCATGGGTACCAGGAGCACTGTGTGGAGTTTAGGACTAATCTAATATCTGCGTTAGCAAGCAGGTCTGAGGCTGCTCAGTGGGGAGCACATTAGACTTGATTAAAACAGTGTCTGATGGGGACCAGGCTGGGGGCCAGTGCTGAAGAGAGGTTCAGGCTGGCTACTCACGCCCAGGAGGGTTAGGACTAGTGGAGGAAGCCAGACCAGCACTCTGAGCCAAGATGGAGGTGGGATGATGACATAATGAGGGGATTGCGCCCAGCGTGTCCCCACACTGTGGACCGCCTGTGGCCACCAGGAAGCTTCCAGTGCGAGGACACTGCTGCCCAGAGGAACCATTGGGTCAACTTGGTGGACAACAAAGCGTACCTCCCCTACAGGGCAACAGAGCATTTCAATGCACTCAGACAGACCTCTTGGCAGGAAAGATGCTGTCAAAACCAACAGCTTACCAGAATGGTACCTCGATCAGAAACGACCTCAGAGGCCAGGACAAGCCAGCTGTAAATTCTGAGGCATCATACAGGAAGGTGGGCCTCCCTGTCGTTACCGTTAGGATGCAGAACCCCAGATCGTGCATACCTGAGTCCTGCCTGGGAGCTCTTCTCAAAAGCAATCCAGGTCCAGCCTGTGTTTTTTTTCTTGTAGGCCCAAAGTAAGTCGGCTGCAATCTGAAAGATCCCACTTACCCTCTGGTGGGGAGGAGGCGGCGGAGGCGTGGATGAGCCCATCAAATCCTGGCTTTCCATTAGATTACCATAATCTGTCATGTTGCCTTTGAGGGGCAAAGGGGGTGGGACATCGGCTGCATCGCCCCCAGCCATGCTGCCGTTTAGCTCCAGACCTGGAAAATTGAGATCTAGTTACACTGAGGCCTGTAAATCTTCTGGGCCTGAAGGCTCATGGGCTGCTCCTGACCCCCAACCTGACCCTTGCAAACTCTTTACTCCACAGAACGTGGGCCAAAGAAGCAGAGAAGAGGGCAGGGAGCGATCGAGAATACAAAGACTGGAGGTCCCTTCCAATGGAATGTTCTAGAAAGGAAATTGCCAAGTACCAGCTTGTCTATTGAAGCAGCCTGTCGATTTACTGTGCAAATACTACTGTCCACGTGGCATGTACACAGTTGGAGTGACAACGGCTGTGGACAGCTGAGGCTTTGAAAGGCAGCTTGCCACAGTGGCTACTTGGAAGGTTCCATCCCGTGGAGTCCAGCGAAGGGGTACACAGCCAGCCACCGCCTTGCACGGCTGCCTCAGCAGGGCAAACCATGATTGCAGGACAGCAAGGGGTCAGGAATTGCTTTCCAGAGCCAAAGGGAGGCACAATGGATTATTAAAGCAAACTGTAAATACGGTTATGAACAGAGGGAGGACACCAAGGTGGGTATTATTTTCAGTCTATGTTATGAGTCTTGCAAATAATTTGCTTTATTTTAAATCAAAGAGAGAAAAATGGACATGTTTGCTGATGGGCGGCTTTTGGAGTCTTCCCCAGTGATTATCTGAAAATGGGAAAATCCTGCCAGCAGTGTCAGGCAGCAGATGGGGGAGCTCTGTCACGGAGCCTGGAGAACAGCGGTCATCAACAGTGGCACCTGTGTGCTTGCATCACTGCAGTAAGGTAGAGGTGACGTAACACTTGCCATTTTAACCCTCTTCCAGTGTGCAAGCCCTGGTGGTGATACATTGACAGTGTTGTGCAGTCGCCTATCATCCCAGACAGAAAGTTCTAGGCATTGAGTAACAATTCTTCTGCCACACATTCCTGCTGGACACAGAGGGCCAAGGCCTCAGAACACATCAGCCCCCTGTGCCTCTTAAACCTCCTTTCCAGGGGCTGGACAGGTCCTGGACTGCCCCTCCATCCGCTGAGCTCTGAGGCTGACCGTGGGTTTCCGCCTGAGTTGCTGAAGTCCAGATCCCCCACCCCATCCTTAGGGACTCCCCGGGCGGCGGGAGCTCATCAAGCTCTGGGGCTGCTAATGAGGAAGGGGCCTTCACTGTGGAGCCACGGTCAAGGGGGACCTCAGGGAAGAACAAAGCAAGTTCCACTTACCGGACTGAAGGCTGAAGCTGAGCTTGGCCCTTGGTGTGACTGGTGGGGGTGTCTGCTGGGAGGACGGTGACGTTGGAGACACAGACAAGCGCCTTTCACTTCCGATGACGTTGATCACCTGACTCTTGGGTCTCTGGGGCCGCAGGGGACTTATCTACATTGAAGGGGCAGAATGAACAGGTAAGCTCTATACAGACTGTGCTGACGCCTTAACCCCAGTATCTCATAAAGCGTATCTGCAAGCAGGAGTTTTGCAAAGGATCCAGTTAAGATGATGATGTCATCATCTCACAACTAATGTCCGAATCCAACACTGGTGTTCTTACAACTGCGGATGAAAGTTCCCAGAGAAAAGCGCATCTGAAAACAACATTCCATAAAGGCTGATCAACTGATCAGAACTTCAGTGATGGAGGAACATTTGGAATGTTGCAGGTCCGGGGCCCAAGTACCATTTGTCATGGGCCATCTTCAGCCCCCTAAAGAGCCACTCCTTGCCAACCTTTGTTTCTGACTTAATATCCTGTGACTAACAGATAAAAACCTTTTGGAATGTATTAACAGACTGCCAATGTCTACCAACCAAAATGTTGAGTGTTAGTAGACGGCATTTGAGGCCAATAGCTGAGATCTCTCTTTGCTGTAACCACCTACTTAATGTTTCCACTAATATATTTTAAAAGTATCTTAAATTATAACTTTTCTTTGTTCTGTTACTATTAAAAACTTCATAAAACTATCCTTACTTTGGAACATGGAATTTGGGGTAAGCTGTTTTCCTGGGCCATGGTCGCTCATATTTGGCTCCAGAATAAACTATCTCTTAACCCCTTTGTGGCTCGAGTTGTGTTTTTGTGCCAACATAACCAAGGGGAATTTAGACAGCTGTGTATATAGGGAGATGACATAAGAATTTGAAGGCAAGGACAGGGTGCTCCTGCTACAAAGGGACACCAAGGATGGATGGCCAACAGAGCGCCAAGGGAAGACATAGAACATCCTCTCCCACTGCCTTAGCAGGAGGCAACCCTGTCCACATCTGGATCTTGGACTTGTAGCTTCTAGAACCAGGAAGGAGCTTCCGGTGGTCCCAGTCACCCATGGAGGACTGTACTTCATGGTGGTAGCCTCTCCCCACTCCACAGGGTCTCACAGGAATCCTCTGACCTAGTGAGCAGACTTTCACAGGCTTTAAAAAAATGATAGAGGATTCATGTACCTGGAACTTTCTATGTCGTCAAGGATGACCTTGAACTCTTGATCCCCTCACCTACATCTCTTGAAAGCAGGAGTTACAGGTGCAAACCATCATGCCGGGTTTATGAGGTACTGGGGATTGAACTCAGGGCCTCATGCATGGTAGGCAAGCTCTACCCACTGGGCTACAGCTACAGTCCTTAGCAGGCTGTTGGAGCACAATATAAAAGGGGAAAGCAATCTTAAGCCCAGTGAGTGTGCCCAGGGAAGCTCCCAAAGGACAAGAGAGGAACAGAAGTCTAGAAGCAGCTGAGATCATCAGGCGGGAATTCTCTTCTCTGCTCTTCCTGCTGGCCTAGGGATCACTGCATGCACTTGACTTTTCCCCACCAGAGCCCTTTCCTGGTGTATGTAACATCGGTACATTTAATTCACATATTTTGTACAGCTTGGTCTCAGATCATTACACATCAGGGAACATCGGCAATTACCAAATATTATGTGGTGGGGGCACTCAGAAGACTTATCAACCTGCTTTTCTGTGGGAGAGGAGGCTGCCCCCTCCCCTCCCATGCAGGCAGGTAAGCCAGGACTTGTGCTTAGCTTAATCCTGGGGCTTAAGGGGTGGGGTGAGCTGATTTAGGGGGACAAGAGCAGGTGGACCATCTACCCCAAAAGAGACGGACAGAGCCAGTCAAGACTAGGGATACTGAAACCAGAAGTAGGTGCTAGGGCCTGGGCAGGGAAGATGGAGAGGTCCTCTGGTAAATGAGCATCCCAGACACTGTCCCTCCTCTGTGAAATGGAGAGCCTCCTACAGCCCTGCTGGGGGAGAGTGGAGGAGGGCGGTCTGGAGGCCCAGCTATGAGAGACTCAGCTAAAGGTCAGGAAATTGTTGATGATGCAAATCAAAAAGGAAGCTGAGCCCAGGCCCTCAGGAAAGAGAAAACCATGCTGAAGGATGGGGGGGGGGAGGGAGGGAGAGAGGGGGGGGGGGGGGGAGAGAGAGAGAGAGAGAGAGAGAGAGAGAGAGAGAGAGAGAGAGAGAGAGAGAGAGAGAGAGTAACCTCAGCATTCTGGGAGCAGCAGAGGGTGCTGGGGTCACCAGAGAACATGCAGCTACTCTCCAGTGTGACTCCTTCCCAGAGGCCCCTCTCCTCTCAGCTCTCAGTCCTTTGCCAAAGCTAGCCCTGTCCTGTTGGCAGGCCATGCCAACACCTGCTCCCTGCAGCCTCGAGGAGGAGGAGGCCTACCCACCATACCCAGTAGAGGGTAGGAGGGAGTGTTTCTGGTCTGCTGCTGCAGCCCTGGTCATGCTGAGCCTTGGGTGCACACTGACAGCAAGATCAAGGCTTTGTGCTCTGACCTTACCCCGTATCTGTGATCTCCAGGCCCACATGACACTGCACCTGCTGTGTCATTAGCAGGTGACCTCCAGAGACATGGCCACTGCTGGGAGGGACAGAAATTGCACTGTGAGGGCCCAGCATCTGCTTGGCCTTGGGTTTCTTTTGGCTGTTATTTCTGCTACTTGGCTCCACTTTACCGAGGCCCAGTTTCAGTATCTTAAAATGGAACTTAAATAAAAATATCTGAAAGACTGCAATGCCTGATACTTAGTAAGTTTTCAAAACTTGCTTTGATTAGTCACCCAACCCTGTGGGACGTGAGAGGAGGTCTCTCCCCGCTCGGCCAGAACACCAGCTTCCTGGAATAGTGGACGGAGAGCTTATTGGAAACTCTCCTGCATTGCCTGAGGCTCAGCCCTGTGCCCAGGCATTCAGTGCCAGCCCTGACCGGTGCCTCCTGGCTTGATGTCCCTCGCCACCTGCATACTGCACTGAGACACCAGAACCCAGCTATGGTGAAGTCACATTTCCACAGGGAGGTGATGGCTTTCCTGAGCCATGCCACGACACTGGTGTCAATATGTACCTTCCACCTTCCAAGGAGCAGGTGGCATGTGACCAGTGCTGAAGCTGGGACCCATCCTCTGACATGCATGGCATATCTGTTAAGAAGTGAACATGTTGGGTAAGCTGCCTTTAATCACAGCCAAGATGGAGCTGTCGCCCAGGGAGGCATGCTCTGGCCTCTGCCTACTCAAGCCCTATCCCTGTCTAGGGGAGACAGTTTGACTTCAGTCGGCAAGCTTCTGAGACCCTCTCTCTGTGTGCTGGACAGCTTTAGTGTCAACTTCACACCTGGGTTGAGGGAGCCTCAATTGGTGAATTGCCTCCACGGGACTGGCCTGTGGCCACATCTGTGGGGCATCTTCTTGACTGTTGATGTGGGAGGGCCCAGCCCACTGTGGGTGGTGCCACCCCTGGGCAGGTGGTCTTGTGTTATATAAGAAAGCAGGCCGAGTACAGGCCAGGAGAGCAAGCCAGTAGGCAGTGTTCCTCCATGGTCTGTGCTCTGGGTTCCTGCCCCGAGTTGCGGCCTTGGCTTCCCTTAATGATGGACTGTGCTATAAGCAAATAAACCCTTTCCTCGCCAAGTTGGTTTTGGTCAGTGTTTTTATCACAGCAATAGGAAGCTAAGACACTCTGTTTTCACTTTGTGAATTACTCTGGGCCTGATTTCTGTACTTAGACCCTAAACAGTGTGGTATGCTTCTGGAAGGCTGGTCAAAAGGACCATCCTGGGATGATGCAAGTGTATCCCACAGAGTTTACTGCCTGGCCACTTCCAGGACTCTGGAGTGAACACAGTTTACTGGAGTCTGTCCTTAATGTCAACTTGACAATATGTGTCTTGTTCAGGCCCCATAAATCCTTCTGAAAGATGGTCAGATCTGGAGGCTTGGCAGATGAGGTGGGAGGTAAGGAGACACTGAGTCTAGCAGGTGGAATCTGAGGGAAGGAGGGGCTTTTGGATTTTGGTCGAGTAGATTATTATTTTTTACATTTATTTTATTTATTTTGTATGTGTATCCGTGTATGTATGTGTGTTTGAGCATGCCACAGTGCATGTGTGGAGATCAGAGGACAGCTTGGGGGAGTTGGTTCTCTTTCTACCAGGTGAGTTCCAGGGATTGAACTCACATCATCATGCTTGGCAGCAAATGCCCTTACCTGGTAAGCCATCTCACCAGCTCTGAGTGGAGTGGATTACAACACTTGGGGAGTGACCATGGTTTGGGGATGTTGCTCAGGAAGGAACAGGGAGGGCATTAGCTGATGAGGAACAGTGTTTTGTGAAAGCAAAGTATTCTTACTCTCTGAGGTGTTAGGGCATAGATGGGCACCAAGTCAAAGAGGAGCCTAGAGACATGAAGGCTCTGCTGAGGACTCACCCACCACTGAGCCCCTCTGAGACATAAGGTGAAGAGGAAGGCAGCACCCTAAGAAAAGACAGTTTGGCTCTGTGTCCCTGACTAGGTCATCTGAGGTTAGAGATGAAGAGACCGCAGGCTTTTAAGTTGCTGTTTTTGTACAAGTTCAATAAAACTCAACTGACAGCTCTCTGGGTTAGATGCAGAGTGGAGGTATGCCCACAGAGCTAGAAAGATCCCTGGTAAAATCACCGTTTCTGAAAGGATCACGGCCTCTGACTGCTGCAGGGAACTGTCAGCAGGCTTGAATTCCTTCTCAAACATGTCCTGCTGTCTGCTGTTCCTTTTCTCCTTCTTCTTCTCCTTCTTCTCCTTGTCTGGGTCATCCTTGTCCAACTTGTCCTGGGACCTGGAGTGCGTTTTCCTTGGCAGAAGAGGCTCCAGAGCAAACCTAGAGGCAAAGGGTTTCTCAATCAGTGTCTTAACGGAACAGCAACTGCCTTCAGCCTGCAGAGACGTGTGAAGCCAGGCAGCGTGCATCTGGCTGCCTGGGACCACAGACTCTTTACGGGGGAAAGGAATGATTTAAAGAGGCAGCAACAATGCGCACTAACCAATCAGGGATGATGTTTGCACCCCAATAAAAGCAAGCTGGGAAATACCAAAATGCTGGGCTAAGGAGACAGCTCAGTTGGTAAAGTATTTGCCATTCAAGCAGGAGGACCTGAGTTTGAGCCTCAGAACTACACAGAAGGCAGGCATGGTGGTGTGAGCTTGTAATCCCAGCCCCGGGGATGTGGAGATGGGAGGCTTCCTATGTTCACTAACCAGCAAGCCCAGCTAAATCAGAGTTCTAGGCCAGTGAGAGACATTGCTCAAAGCACGCACGCACACACACACACGCGCACGCACGCGCACACACACACACGCACACGCACATGCACGCACACACACACACACGCGCACGCACGCACACACA